GAAGGCGACCGGTTCTTGATTTTTTTTTTTTTTTTTTTTATTTTTTTCCCCTCCTTCCCTCTCGTCCAGCTCCCCAGCCCACTGCTGAGATTGAGATCAAAAGGACCCATTTCCTGGAGGACAAGGAGAACAGACACGTTTCTGGTGGTGTAGAAGGGACCGATGGCAATGCTTCAGAGTGTAGCGGAGACGCAGGAAAGAGATTCAACCTGTTAACAAAAAATTAAGCAGGGGGAAAATACCAACGGGAAGGAAAGAGATATATATATACACATATATATATATATATATATACAATTTAGAAGTATTCCCCAGGTGGCCACAAAGCATGGGCTGTGCTCCAAGCATCCACATCTCTGACAGCAGAGTGGTCTATCACAGTAGCAAAGAGTCTGAGGAGTGCAATTCCCCTCACCAGACCAACACAACCATGTCTCAACAGCAGCAAGGCAACCCCGTCCCAGGATTATTCATTAAATCCTCCAACACATCCACTTATAAGGTGAGGACTAATTCCTCTAAGAAAGACAAGAGGGAGAACAGCCAGAGCATGGAGGCAGAGACCCAGACCAGCAGATCCAGTGTTAAGGTAAAAAGGGTGCTAAACATAAGCACTGTTTCTCTCAGAACAGGAGTTGGCTGTAGCGGTTTAACCCAAGGAGTCTCCCTGCCGAAGCGATACGTTGCGGGGGAGCTTTTCCTGGCTTGAGCTATTACTTTCGTTTAGAAACTAATCAGTCTCGTGAAACGACTTTACAGATGTACCCAAGCCTCTTTCTTCATTCCGCAAAATGAGTTTTGTTAATGTCGGGAAGGAGAGCGGTGTAATTGTCCTCGTCAGTCGTTAGGGCCAGGGGAGCAGGGCTCGCTTCTGAACGCAGAGGGCCCGTCCGTCTGTCCGTCTGCAGTGGGACTGTGTCGTGCATGGGAGCTGCGCTGCCACCGACTCCTGTGCTTTACATGTTTGTTTGTGCTGAGTCCTCCAGTGTTGCTGTTTGTGCTTGTCTCCTTTGGAAGCAGAGGCAAATCGCAGTCTGAAGCCATCTGCTTGCTGGGCTCATCAATTTGCATACCTCTTCCATTCAGAAAGTTGAAAGGAGAGCGACAGCGGTTTTTGCCCTGGGTACTGATTTACATTAACAACTTGTTGACCTTGTGTGTTGCTGCAAATAGGGTATTTTTTGGAGGGCTTTTTTGCATGTGTGTTAGCGTGTGGGCTTTTGTATCAAGATACAACACAAGGCTGTATGAAGTTGGCAGACACATACTGAAAAAAATTGTAATTTGTGATTAATTTTTTTTTTTTAAAGTGAGAGAGTTAGTGGTGTGTTTGCTTGTCTGTTTACTTTCTGTTGATGGCCTGTTTGGTTTTGGGTTGTACTTTAGTTCTAATGCTATGGGTTTTGATCATTCCGTATCTTTGCTATTTGTGTGGGGGGGAACTATCTCTATTTCATAAAAATAAGTAATTGCAAATATAAAATAAAAAAATATCAAATTGTAGCAGCCCAGGGGATATTATATAACATGGCTGATCTGCTCTGGGTTACCATGATTAGAAGTGAGATATACATGCTGTAAATATAAGATACAGGCTCGAGATGCAGGCAAGAACTAGCTAAATGTCAAGCGTTTTGCAGACTCACAGAAACTCTAACGATTTGTAGTTTTCTTAGCATTTTTATGTGCTCGTTAAGACGGCTTCCAGAGTATTGACCTGGCATAATTTTTTTCAGTCCTGTGAGTGATTTTCTTCAATGGTTTTCCTCCAGATACAGTAATCTCAGTTCATAGGAGTCTAGAAAATGAGAAGATACTTTGCAAGTAGTGAGTTGGAGGAGGAATTAACGATACCTAAGGCTGAACTTGAAGTGAATGGTGTTACACTAAACTAAATTTCTGTGTTAATAACATTGTACAGGAAACTCAACTTTAAGGCCCTGTTCACACATGATAGACATGCTTCTGGTATATTTAACACAGTAACCACAGTAAGGAAACTTAAGTTGTCATCAGAATCCTGACCACTGTTTTGCTAGCTGAGTTTTTAATTCTGATTGTAATTGCACATTACAAAATCTAAACAAAAAATATTCTTGAAATGTAAATTCTGTGAATTTGTCTTCTGTGTGCTTCCTTATGGGGGGAAAAAACAACTCCAAAATCCGTTTCCAGAAGCATGCATGGGAAGCAGTCTTAGTTTTGTTAAATTTTGTTGTTTGATTTCAAGAACTTTGTAAAAGTTCTTGTTACTAGGTTTGCATAATTCAGCCAGATGCTATACGGTTGATGTTGGTTCATATGTGTACTGTAATCTCATTGGCAGTCTTTCTGATTTTTATCACTCAGTCATATTTTCTGCCCTTGTCATCACTCTGAGCACACTGATGTGAAACGATGGGTTTTGAGAAATGAGAATGGAATTCTGTTTGTGATCAGCTGAATACAAAATCCATTGGACACAACACATCTGCATGATTTTCACGTGCAAAATCCTATAATACTCTTCAGAGCTATAAAGCAGCATGGTATTTCATTCTCTGCTTTTATCATTAGTGTGTACAGTATGATCAGATTTACAGTTCTTAGGGTGCTAGATAACGGTGTTGTCTCGGAGACTGTGCTGGAGAGAGGGCTACGCTATCACTGGAGAGCAGTTTTTGCAGTACAGGGAAGTTGTTTGGAAAGAAGGAAAGTGTGAGAACATTGAAGATAAGAGACAGGAGGCTGAAATCACTGAAGCCAAAAGGAGCATTGGGCAGGACGTTGTGCTGTTTTGGAGTTAAAAGGATTTTTTATTTGGGGAAGAACTGTAAGAATTAGGGTGCTACTAGGAACTATTGCTATTCTTCAGAGTGTGTAGAACACCCTTTATGGCCCCTGGGGTACCCTCACGTGAACAGAAGATGCTACAAACCTTTTGTGCTTTGGCCAATGGTGGTATCATCAGAATTTGTGTGAACACCCAGCAACCTGCCTGAATGGCACTTTCACTTGGTTTCAGGGCACTTTAATTGAAACTCCTTCACATTCTTTTGTTGTATATGCACAGATTAAAGCCAAGAAAGTCCTATGTGAGAGCTAAGAACAAAGTTTGGCCACTGTGTAAATCTCATATTTTCACTTTGGCTGGCATTAGCATTAAGTTTATTAAAATATGTGTAATAGGTAGTGCAATAACTCTTATTGAATCAGTTTGTTAGCTATAGTGCACATTTTTCAAGTCAGAAAGTGACATAAGAAGAAATAACACATGCTAACTGTAAAATGGCACTATATATATTGCCAGTTAGCCCCCAGACTTATTCTGGCTTTATGTTTATGTCTTATTATGTCTTTTTTCTTGCCAAATAGCAGAGGATAATTTTCTGGATGTGTGGTGTGAGCATAATATATTTTGTGATTTGCATCAATTTACAAATTGTAACTAAAAAAGTTAACCTGTTCTTTCCTAATATGGAAAAACCCAAGTTTATCCCTAACGAATTTGCAGAGCAGTCCTGAATTTCTGTGTGTGGCAGAGATAAATGCCATAATACCTGTTTCTGGTATATATGAGTATGGTGATAGCATATGAGAAGTGGAGGAGCACTTTTAATAAATTATATTTGGTCATGACACCTGTATCTCCCTCCTTAATTAATAATTTCATACGCGGCTTTAATTTGAAAATTCATTAGCAACTTGGAATTCAAGTGCCATATCTAAAAAGTGAACGAGCCATGAAAACCTTCCCTTAATTTTCCATTTATCAACTCCACAGCTTAAACTCTGTACAGTGAAAGACTAGCAAGACTTAGAAAGAGTGACTGAGATTTGATTATCCAGTGCTACATTAAGAATACCAAATGACACTTACCCAGTACTGTTGCAAAGGAGAGTTTTCCTGGTTTTGTTTTGTTTTTTTCCCTGCTCTAAAAAATTTCAAGAAAGTGGACTCAAAATCGTGATAGTCTGTCTTTTCATATATATTAGTTATGATTTTTTTCTTCAGACATTTGTAGTGTTGAATTTGTGGTAGAGGTACTTGGCTTTATAGGAACCTTATTAAACACGTTTAGAATAATACCTCTGTTTAATCTATAGTGTAAGTGGAGTAAATGCTGAAACAGTGTAAGGACTTAATGGGCATTTATTTTAAAATTTACTTGGGTATTCATAAGCATATGGTATCCAAACATCATGTGAGTGTGTCACTCTTCTGTAGTGCACTAATATACACTGTAGCACATACATTGCACATTTCTTTTGCCCTGTCATTCTTTTACGTATGTGAGATTTCCTTCCTCTTTTGTGTAACTCTCCCTGTCATGTATATCTTAATACAGAAATATGTGTGTTTGGGTGCAAGGGGATTGGAGAGTAAATCCAAACCTCCTTTATTTTAAATTAAAAGTAGTCCTAAGCCAGCGGGGCTAAATGTGAAATAGCCTTTTAATTTATCAGCTGATATGGGACAGCCAGTTTAAATCTACGGCCCTGCAGCCAGTAAGTTTTCTTCATTCAAACCCTGTGAAATTGCCTGAGAATTGTACAGTCGCTGCAAACCAATGGTTGCATAATTCTGCATATAGGAGGCTGTATGCTATATTGTACCTGCGGCGCTGAAGTGGATCTTGTTTCAGCATTTAACAGCACATTATTTAGTCCGTTAAGCTGTCTGCTCTTTTCCTGTCTGTCTGGTAATTCCTTCCCCTTGGAACGTGCGAGCTCTCCCTCCCTTTGAAACTCCCATACGTAGTGTCCATGCTTCCACTGAGGCCATCCACCCTCTCTTGATTCCTCCTCGTTCCCACTGAGACCATCCTCGATCGTTTCCCCGACGAACCTCCCATCACTGCTTCCCTCCCGCTTCCACTGACGTCAGCCCTCCTGCACAGAGATCCTCGCTCCCACTGACAGGATCCTTCCCACGCTGAGATACACAAACTTTCCTTAATCTTGACAGCTCCAGACTTTCAGGCCGATGTTTCTTATGCTGTTGTTGCGAGGCATGAACCCTTTTCTCCAGGGAACGGGAGTCTAATTTTTAAATGATATGAACTGGTGCAGTAACATGTGAACTGGGTTCACATTTAAGTCTATTTTTTGTCTTTACCTTTTAATTTCCTGTTGTTTGTAATTTAAACTGGAAACCCCCCCAAACTGTAAATCACTCATATCATACAGATTGCTACACTACTAAGCATAAGCTGTTTTCAATTTTTAAAGCATTATTACTGGTACCTCTCCTGGTACCCAAACCACACCACCTGGTCATGCAAACCAATTCATGCAAAATGTGTCCCTGCATCTGACGGCAGTTCTTTGTGAGACTGAGATGAGCAAGGTTAGGCCCTAAATTTTTGGAGTACTTACTGTTGATAAATAAGAACTTCACCGAAACTCCTTTCAGCCATAAATTCATCTGCCAGAGACGAAACACTGACTTCTCTCTGCCCTTTGCATTGTTCTTCACTGCCCCTGGTCTGAGCTTGCTTTGTGTCTCTTCCCTGGCCGTTTTGGGTAGTTAATTTCTAAGCTTTTCCTTTTCTGCCATCTGAATGTGTCAATAGAGGAAGTATTAAAAACAAGCCTTTATTTCTTCAC